ATCGGCCCTATAAATGACAAGTTTTTAAAGAAGTATTATCCTTGAAGTTGCAACGCTCCTTGACGCATGAGCCTAAACTGCATATTGCTACACTTCTAGCCCGCATGAGTCTAAACTGGGTACGGCCTAAAAAAAAAGGTCCGCTAGGTTGAAAACCTCGAAAGAGACAGCCTATATCTAATATATATATATATATATATATATATATATATATATATATATATATATATATATATATATATATATATAAAAAATTAAAAAGAAAATATCACCTATTCGGAACTACGGTATGACTTGATCCTCTTCACCGAGGTAGACAGCTTAGAGTTTCATTCTGAGTTCAGTCGCATAAGTTCAAAAGATACATATTGCCCCAATTATTGTCCGAGTGAAGTATGGAGGAATGTAAAATCAAGCTGAAACGCTATCCTCCTGTTGAACTTTGATCTTATTTGATTTAAAAGAGGCAAGCTTCCATGGTAAATTGGTGTCTTCAATGGAATGATTATAGTCTTTTAGGAGGCTACCAAGTATTTGCAATGAAGCCTGAAGATTCGTTATGCCTTCAAGTTCGCCAAACCTCCAAATTTTTGGTCTTCAAGTTGAAGTCTGGAAATCCCCTAGTCTTTAAGTTAAAGTATTCAAGCCCTCCAAGTCCATCGGTCTTCAAGTTGAAGTCCTTAAGTTCACCAGAATTCAAGTTGAGTTGTTTAAGCCTCCAAGTCTTTAAGTTGAGGTCTTCAAGTCTGCTAATTCTTCAAGTTGAAGTTTAAAGTCCACCGCTCTTCAAGTTGACGCATCAAAGTCCGCCAAATCTTCAAATCCGTCAAATCATTAAGGTTGTCGATCTTCAAGTTGAAGTCTACAAATCCACCAAGTCTTCAAGTCGAGGCTTTCTAATTTTCCAATTTAAGGAGGACGTTTAAGTCCCTTTGCACCTTAAGTTGGCCCCTTTGCGGGTTTGTCCTTAAAAGGAATTATGATTTTCCAATCTTAAGGTGGGCGTTTAAGTCCTTTTGCACCTTAAGCTGGTCTCATCACGAATTTGATCCTTCTATATGTTGTTGATGATTTGTCCTTCTATAGGTTGCCATGGATTTGTCCTTCTATATGCTATTGCGGGTTGATCCTTCTATATGTGGTTGAGAATTTGTTTTTCTATATGTTGTCGTGGGGTTAGTCTTCTATATGTTGATACGGATTTGTCCGTCTATATGTTGATGTGGATTTTTCCGTTTATATATTGATGCGAATTTGTCCGTCTATATGTTGATGTTGATGTGTCCGTCTATATGGTGATGGAGATTTGTCCGTCTATAAGTTGTTATGGATTTATCCGTCTATAAATTATTGCAAATTGATCTGTCTATAAGTTGTTGCAAGATCCGTCCGTCTATAAATTATTATGGATTTAACCGTCTATAAGTTGTTGCGGGTCTATCCTTCGGTGTGACGTCATGAAGTTACTTGTCAACTTAGCACTCGACTACTTTCCTTCTCACTTGACCTACAAATAAAAGAGATAAAAGGAATAATGCAAAAGAAAAGGGAGGGGAAATTACCAGATGTAAAATCGCTAAAACAAAGTGGGGCTCGATGTAACTTGCAACACTATAATTAATACTAAAAGGATCAAGAGCATGTGGTTTATATAGATGGTGAAAGAGAGCATCAAAAGACTTATTTTTCGATGTGGGATTAATTGTAGTGGCGGTGGCTTCATCCGTGTCCGAGTAGATACCAGTTGAAACTATTCTACTCCTAATAGGATTCGTGAAAGTGGGCGTCCAATAATCTAGCGTGTCATGCCCTTCCGTGAAATGATCTTTATTTTTGTTAACATCAAAATTTAATATGCAAAGTGTTCACAGAAGAGAACACGTAAGCATCAATGTGCAAAGGAGTATTTATTGATTTAAAGTGTTGTTTCAAAGGCAACCCCAAGTAAAAAATCATGGTCCAACTTTTGACGGAATGAAAACTTTCATTTAAATAAAAGTAAAATCTCTTAAAATATAATTTGAAGGAGGCATGGATAAATAAATCCATGAAAGTTTGCAAGAACAAAGGCGCAAAGTCTTTCCTTGTTGATACTTCAAGCCTAGTCATTATATTGACACATAAATTTTGTAGAATAATTTGTAGGCATATAAATTTTGTTGGAATTAAATCCGTAAAATAATTAGGACTATATTTTAAATTCAAGATATATTAGTCCAAATAAATATTATGGGCTAATATAATTGAATTAATCATATAAGTCCAACATATATGGATTAAATAAATAAGTCTTAATCCATTGGGCTAGCCCATTTGATTGGGCTAAAGTGATGAGCCCACTTCATTAAGCCCAAGATGTCATCTTCCTAGAGGCCCAATTTTGTGCCATATGTCAAATGACGTGGCACACCAAGTCAAATGGAAGATCCAATGGGATCATGCCACGTGTCAAAATGACAAGGCATGCCAAGTCACATTAAATGGCCAATGGAATCACACCACGTGTGCAAGTGACATGTTCTGGCCAATCAAATGCGGCCATGTCACACTTCAATTTGATTGGTCGGAAAGAGTTTGTTCTAATCACAACTTCTCCCTTCTACAACTATAAATAGGGGCCTTTAGAACTCAGAAAAGACACGAGAAGTTATAACAAGAAGCAAGGAAGAGCTCGTGGATCAAACGCTGCAAATTCCTCCATAAGTTTCAAGCTTCAAGCAATCAAGTTCAAGGTCAAGCAATCAAGTTCAAGCTCAAGAACGAAGAACAAATCAATTTCAAGATCAAGAACGAAGACCAAATCAAGGTCAAGTTCAAGCTCAAGAACAAGATCATCATTCGTGGAAACAAATATAGATTCAAGATCAAGCTCAAAGGCCCTTGAATTTATTTACTATTGAAAAGAAGAATCAGAGGATTCATAGAGATTGTAACACTTAAATATTTAAAATAAAATACTACGATTGTTGCAATATTTGTCGGTCTTGATTTTATTTTCTCGACGCAAATTTATTGTCTACACAATGAACTTACAATACTTATGTCTTAAAATCAGCTTCCTCTCCTCCCATTAAAAAAAATAGAGTCCCAAGAGAAAGAAAAAACATGGAAAATATTACTCGCTGAACTGCATGTTTTAACATCTCCAAATTGGAAACCAAAATTGATGAAACGCAATTGCAGATGGTTCTCTTTGTATAAATAGTATCAACATATATGCACAAAGATAATACTCACTTTTTTGTCACTGAGGAGTACGCTATGAACCCCTTTTTGTCATTATTCAGAAATTCTAATTCATTAATTCTAAAGAACTCCTAGAGATTGCAGAAGTACCACACTTGATGACACAACTCTTTCTTACCTGACCTGCAGCATCTAACAATTTAAGTGTCAATTCAAATGAAAAACTACTACTACTAAATCAGCTCCCATATATATGTGCGCGAAGCTACTACCTTCCAAGTTGTAGCAGAAACTATGTTGTATCATTCTTTTTGGCAGTTACAATAGGCATCCCACAACCACGATTCATTCGCCAACTGTTGCGATCCATGTTCAGGTGCACATCTAATTTCAAAGTGAACGTGTTAATTGCCACAGAGACTGAATGAAGATGATTTCAAAAGCAACACTCTTTCCGGCTAACTTCTACATTCTGCCATTTTAAGTTGACTTGTTGGTTGGTGGAGCTTTATTGCTTGATCGTTATCCAAGTCTTGTGCTTCAACACATGAGCCTTCTGTACGTACTAAATAGGCAGGAGGTGTAGAATATGAACAGTTTCACTAATGAAACGACTTGAGAACGTCTTTTCATCTTTGATTTTCTTGAGTAACTGCCAACTTACCCTTTAATTGAGTAATTATTAGGTATTTTTAGACTTTTTAACCTAAGATAAACCAATAAAAGTGAGGGAAAAGCCAAAAAATTGAGAAAAAAGATAAGTGACTTTCATGGCCTATGAGAGGTGCCATATCACCTTTTCCATTCCCACCTTTATATATATATATATATATATATATATATATATATATATATATAAAGTTAGGAATAGAAAAGGTATATAGATTCTAATTGATTCATCAGGAAAATTTTAAGAGGGCATTCAATAGTATTATTATAATATTCATGCTTTTCCAAAATTATGCACACTAACTATTGCCACGTGTAAATAAAGACAGAAGATACACAATTTTACACCTGAAAATTAGAAATAGAAGATTTCTGCAAAAAAATGTATTAAATTTACGTGGAACTATATGTGTTTTTTCTAATTCAATCTCCAAACTAAATGAGTATCGAAATTGAAAGGGCAGATGATTCCGATCGTGAACTGTAAGAACAAATAGTATTAGTTTTTATTGAGAGTGGAAGTATCACATAGCACGTTCAAATTGTGAAGTAGTTAGCTGGCAGTTAGCTGTCACTTAGACTGAGTAGTTAGGCGGTTAGTGGGATGAGATTATAGTTAATTATAATGTGTAAATGTTAGTTAGATATTAGTAGCTCTCTTCTATATAAACGTTGTATTCTGTACAATTAGATTAGATGAGAAATGAGAAAGAAAAATTCTCCCCATTGATTTTCTAGAACATTCGATCCTCCATTACTGACATCTCATCTTCATCTCTTTTGCTTAAACTTTGACATGGTATCAGAGCTTACGACCATTTATATGGTCTCTCTATGAAATTGAATTACTCAGAACATTCTTCATCGAAGCTTGTCAATAGCAAAAAACGTTGATAATGAGTTGCTGGAGAAATTGAGCCACAATCATCCACTTTTTCTACAATCGACTGATAATTCTGGAACCGTGTTGATATCCTTGCAATTGACCGGAACAGAGAGCTATTCCGTCTGGAGTAGAGCAATGCGAGTTGCGATCCTAGGGCGTAACAAGCTAGGGTTCATTAAGAAGTTGCAGTCGAGACAATTACAGACCAAATTTGGTAGATGTGTGGGATAGGTGCAACGTAATTGTATTTTCGTGGATTATGAATTGCGTATCACCGGAGTTACTCAGCGGAATCGTCTATTCTTCCAATGCATGTGATATTTGGAAGGATCTGAAGGAAAGGTTTGACAAAGTTGATGGTTCTCGCATTTTCCAGCTGCACAAGGAGATTGCTATTGTGAGTCAGGGAACCAGCACTATTACGACCTACTACTCAAAAATTCGATCACTTTGGGCAGAGTTTGACAGCTTAGCTCCAACTCCTGAGTGTGAGTGTGAAAAGTCTAGGGAATTTGTTGCATTCATGAGGCGTCAAAAACATCTGCAATTTCTGATGGGATTAAATAAAACATATGAACAAGCAAGGGGCCAGATTTTGATGATGGACCCAATTCCATCAGTTAACAAGGCCTATTCTATGCTGATTGAGAGGGAAAGTCAGAGGACTATGTCTAATGTTTCTGTTGCAACTGAAAACTTGGAATTCACAGCATTAATGACCACATGAGGTGGCAATGGAGGAAATGTCAATGCTCAAAGGTTCAAGAAGAATTATACTGTCATATGTGACTACTGTAAGATGAAGGGACACACTCGTGAAGGATGCTTCAAGTTGATTGGTTATCCGGCTGATTTCCAATATAACAAGAGGTTTGGGGGTAACATGGCAAACAATGCCATTGTTGAAGAACATAGACCACAGGAGCCTGGAGCAGACAAAAACATAACTACTAATACACCACAGTCGTACATTGCACCACACTTTACCTCAGAATAGTATAATCATATCCTGAAGCTGCTCAATAAGGAACCTCTACCTGAAACATCAACAAACATGGCAGGTAGTGCAGGTAGTATTAATGCTTTTTTAGCAAATATCAAAGAAAAAGTTTGGATAGTTGACAGTGGTGCAACAAATCATATGGTTTCAAATATAAATATACTGGATAGGAAACAAGAAGTAAGTAGAAATAAGACAAGGAAAGTGCATTTAACTAATGGAGGAGTTGCACACGTAACACACATAGGATCATGCAAATTGGTACAAGCAGGAACAATAGACAATGTTCTATACATTCCTGACTTTAAGTACAATTTGTTATCTGTAGCAAAACTCACAAGAGCATTGAATTGCTCTGTTTGCTTTTTTCCTGATTTCTTTGTGTTCCAAGACCTCTGCAATGGGGAGGTGAGAGTGATTGGTAGGGAGGATGATGGCCTCTACATATTACCTCAAACTACTAGAGAAAGAGAGAAGAATAAAGCAACGGGTCTGTCTAGTAAAATAGAGAAATTGGATATACAACTGTAGCACAAGAGGCTTGGACATGACTCAGCAGGAGCAATAAAACAAAATTTTTTATTAGGATATGATGATTGTAAGGAAGAATTAGAAAGCTGTTCTATATGCCCACTAGCTAGGCATGCTAGATTGCCATTCAGTTCTAGTACTAGTAGAGCAGAAGCAAATTTTCATTTGATACATATTGATGTATGGGGACCATATGGTGTACAGACATATGATGGCAATAAACTCTTTGTTACTATTGTAGATGATCATTCTCGGATATATTGGGTGTATTTGCTGAAGTTAAAAAGTGATGTGGTTGTGATTCTGAGAAATTTTATTCAGCTCGTAAAAACACAGTTTGATAGGTGTATCAGTATAGTAAGAACTGATAATGGGACAGAGTTTGTTAATAGTGAATGCAGCACAGTGTTCCAATCTTTTGGAATAATACATCAAAGAACATGTGTGTATACGCCTCAGCAAAATGGCATTGCTGACAGAAAACACAGACATGTCATTGAGATTGCAAGAGGATTAAGGTTTCAAGGTTCAATTCCAATAAAATTTTGGAGTCATTGCATCCTAACTGCTGTGCATATTATAAATAGGTTACCTTCTAGTGCTTTGGGAGGTAAGAGTCCATTTGAAGTATTTCATTGGAAGAAACTTTCTCTTGACCATATGAGGACACTGGGGTGCCTATGTTATGCCAAAAGGATGAATGTGCATGATAAATTTGAAGCAAGGGCAATTGTAGCAGCTTTCATGGGATATTCTTCTATTACAAAGGGATACATTCCATATGATCTGTCAAAGCACAATTTTTTTCACTAATAGAGATGTTATTTTCAAAGAGAATATATTCCATTCAGCATGGGGAAACCACACATAGACCACATATTTTTAGAGATTGACAATCAGGAGAAACCTAAGTAGAATCTAGATGCAGCAGTGAATCCAGTTGCAGATATTGACTTAGCACAGGAGGAAATACCACTAACAGATGTGCATTCCTTTCCTGCAGACATGCCACATGGAATCATCTTCCTCCAGTACCACCTCAACCACATAACACTCCTAAAGTTGCTCCACACAGAAATGTCACATCTATTTCAACACAGATGAATCTACCACCTCCACAAGAGCTCAGAAGATCTAGCAGAGATAAGAGACTGCCAATATGGATGACAGATTATGCCATTCCCTCATAACAGCAGCAACCTTATTCCGTTAGCAATTCAGTATGCTACTCCAATTTGAAGCCAACTTATCAAGCCTACTTACAAGCTTTCTCTGCAGTAACTGAACCAAGATCTTTTCATGAAGCCTCACAAGACAAGTTATGGATTGAAGCTATAAGAGCTGAAATTCAAGAATTTGAAGATAACAAGACCTAGGAGTTGGTACAATTGCCAACGGGAAAGAAGCCAATAGCCTGCAAATGGGTGTACAAAGTGAAGTACAAGGCATATGGCACTATAGAAAGGTACAAAGCTAGGCTCGTGGCCAAGGGTTACAATCAAAGGTAAGGGCTTGACTTTCATGAAACCATCAAATGGATGTCTATAATGTCTTTCTCCGGGGCGACCTGCATGATGAAGTGTACATGGACTTGCCTGAGGGATTTACCAGCCTGGAGGGGGGGGGGGGTCTACAGGGTTGGTTTGTAGGATGGTTAAATCCCTATATGGCCTAAAGCAAGAGAGCAGACAATGGAATGTGAAGCTGACTGAAGCATTGATTCAACAAGGGTTCACTCAAAGCTGTTTAGACTACTCATTGTTTACAAAGAAAAAGGGAAGCAACATTGTGGTCATTCTGGTATATGTAGATGATATGCTAGTTACAGGCAACAACTTGCAAATGATTGAAGATACTAAAAGACAGTTGCATCAGTCATTCAAAATCAAGTACCTAGGGGAATTGAGGTATTTTGTGGGGATTGAATTCTCTAGATCACACAAAGGGATATTGATGAATCAAAGAAAATATGCCTTGGAACTCATATCAGACTTGGCCTTGAGTGCTGGAAAACCAAGCTGGACTTCTCTTGACAGCCATCAGAAATTCACTACTAGACAGTTGGATGCAATAACAGGGTTACAAGCTGATAAGCCTTTAGTAGACAGAGAAAAATATCAAAGACTCATAAGAAAGCTATTGTACTTGACTCTAACTAGGTTGGACATTGCATTCTCAGTTCAGACACTTAGCCAGTTCCTATAAGAGCCAAAGCAGTCACACTGTAAAGCAACACTAAGGAATATGAGTGTTAATGAGCATAAAAAGAGAGAATAAGCTGACTGCCTTTTGTGATGTTGATTGGGCTTCATGTCCAAACACAAGAAGGTCAGTGACAGGGTTCATTGCAAAGCATGGGGAATCACTAATATCGTGGAAGTCGAAGAAGCAGAACACTGTGTCAAAGAGTTCTGCAGAAGCACAATACATGAGTATGGCATCAGTTGTATCAGATTTGGTTTGGCTAATAAATTTGTTCAAGGATCTGGGAGCAGAAGTGGAACTACCAGTAAACATACATAGTGATATGTCACGACCCGAATTTCCGACCGTCGGGACCGTGATGGCACCTAACATCGCACTCGCTAGGCAAGCCAACGTTAGAGTTCTATTTACTTTTTTCCTTTACATTTAATAGTTAAAACTAACAAAGTTAAATCAAACGGAAATAATTGCGGAAGCACATAATTTACTAGTTATCCATATACTATTAACAAATACCGAAAACTGTTACCACCCAGAAACTGGTGTCACAACCCACGAACATTCTATGAATATTTACAAGTATGGGTCTGAAAGAAAAATACATCTGTCTCGAAAGAAAATAAAACAGAAATGTAGAAACATAAGGGGGGACACTAGGGCCTGCAGACGCCTGCAGGACTACCTTGGGTCTCATAGATGAAAGCCTACAACCGACCTCTCGATCAACCACAACCAGCTCCAAAATGTGCACTGAAAGTGCAGAGTTCGGTATTAGTATAACCGGCCCCATGTACTAGTAAGTGACGAGCCTAACTTCGACGAGGTAGTGTCGAGGCTACGGCGGGGCATATACAATATAACCTGCAACAGTATATATTAAAGCAAAAAGGAAATACGGAACGAAGTGGAACAGTAACTTGCAGCCAAATATATACGGAACTCAAATATCTTGCCAGTACTCAGCTATAACCAATCATTAAGAGAGTTACAGTACTACATGAATAAAATTACAGCAGGAGAAAAATATATAAACAACAAAATGATGCGACGTGCATCCCGTTCCCACCATATAAACAGTAACAATATGAACATTCCCCCTTATTACTCATGTTACGGCGTGCAACCCGATCCCACCAGTCCACCCTTATTGCTTCTCAACATATCACCCTTATTGCTCCTCAATATATCACCCTTATTCCTCCTGTTGCGGCACGCAACCCTATCCCACCTGTCCACCCTTATTACTCCTGTTGCGGCGCGCAACCCGATCCCTCCAGACAATCACATTTCACCCTTATTCCTCCTATTGCGGTGTGCAACCCGATCCCACCATATCAGTACCAATCACACAATAAGAACAAGTATTTCACAATTTAGCTCAAAGAACGGAAATCTATATAATTGTGAAACTTCATCAATTAATACTACATAGCGAGACCAACCAAAATGTACCATGAAGCACCGGTAAACCAACTTGAACCAATAATGTAATACAATGAACTACGGAACAATTAATACCTTCAATAACAAAAACAACATATAACTTAAACAATTAAGCATGAAAGCACCAATAAGCATGTAGCAATTAAGACAGGAAAATACTATATTGGGAACGAGGAAGGGAACATGCTAAACAGATGATTTGTCGGTGCATAGGTACTCGTCACCTCACCTATACGACACACACATGGATTTTCACATAACAAATAAGTTGGGGATTCCTAATCTCTCGAGTCAAAGTTAGACACAACACTTAACTCAATCCAACGGCCAACTCAAAGCTCAATTACCTCTTTTCCTCTAGATTCCACCTCCAATCCACTGGTATCTAGTCATAATTAACTTAATAACATCAATTATCGCTAAAGAAATCAGTTCCAGTGCATAATTATAAGTTTCCCAATATTCTTTCCAAAAGTCAAAAACCGACCCCGGCTCGCTTGGTCAAAACTCGAGGTTCGGACCAAAATCCATTACCCATTCACCCACGA